TCTGGACCCATATCCTGAGCAAGCGTATAATGCATATTTTATCGTTTTCGTGGTGAGAGGGGTTATTATACAGATGGGTACATGCCAGAAGGCAGCATGCGGAGAACTAGTTAACTTGCCTCTTGGGGGCGCTCCAAAGGTTTCCAACGTTTGCGAATTATTTCCAACGGAATATCAGCAGGCTGGTAAAAGCTGGTCATATTTAGCGTGATTGCGTGGAGCTGATACCTTTACTCGCTTATATACTAGACATCCGGTTGCAAACGATGTCATAAAGCTGCCAGGTAACGGAAATTCGCAGAAAATGTCGAGCTTGCGAACAAAGTGGATGTTTTCGTCTTCGTTTACCTATAGCTATAAGGGTCCGTCCATATAGTACGAAGGAACGTATAGGAGGGAGTGGAAGTTGAAATTTGGTATAGTTTTCGGGGAAAGGGACCGACGACTCGAGGTATTGCATGCCTACCTTTGCGAAGCCGTTAAATTTGACTTTCGTAAATTGACATGAACCTCGCGGGGAAACATTAATTTCTTATGCTTCAATCGTTACAGCACACAACCTTTCCTTTTTTCACCGTAACCATTTGATCCTACCATCACCAGCGTCACCGATCTCGTAAGGGCAATATTTATTGAACGTGCATAAGGAGAGAGCATGGACACAAGTTTTCGCATTTTCTCACGGGGGGGGGGACATGAGTGAGTCCCAAGCTAGATGTTTTGGTGGTTTGTGTGTTTGGTCTTGCGCAGTGTGGTCTGAGCGTGACGTTGTGACTGTACACGGTGAAGGGTACCCTCTTCTCACCCTGCTTTCCAAAATTCACGAGAGCTGTACCTCCTGTTTTTAGTAAAAATCAGTGTCAAATTGTCGTTATAATCAAAACAAATACATTGGAATGATTATGTAAGAATATAAACCAAAACAATATTGAGACTCCCCGCCCGGGTATTTGGGGGAATTGCACGGTAAATGTTCACAAATACCACATGGCGAATTAGGATATGGACGCTCATTTCGTGGATATCCATCTGATGACCACTTTAGCCTAACCACTGCTACGATCAGCGAGTACTGTACGCTAGACAGAAACCCTATACAGCTGTGTACTACACTCGGGGATCCTCCAGGAGGTTTGTACAGTGATAGATCGGCGTGTATTTACATGCGTGACGATCAATGACAACCAAGCGAAGATTCGGCGCTCACTGCGCTTGTCCTCCAGCTAGCTAATGTTGACGTCTCGGCTCCACTAATGGAAACCTCGTTCATTGATTACTAACATGTTCACTGCTTTTGTGTATTACACTTCTTCCTTTTTATAGTTTTTGTTCGATGTTGGTTTACCGGAATGCTCGGCGTGTAACTTGGGAAAAAAAACCTGAGTTGTAGGGAAATTTTGTAGAACGTTGAGCAAATTGTCACATTCTATACCAAAGTAAGAAACTTCAAGTTTCATTATTAGCTTTCGCTTATTTTTGGTCAATTTTAAGAATAATCAAGTGATAGTAAAGGTGGCTTTTTAGTCTAATTCACGCACTCGAATCTTCAAATTCTTCCAGATGAATTTCCTGTGCTTTCCTGGAAAAGCAGATTTTTTCATTTATCATTCGGTTTCAAAGCTTGATTACCACATTTTGAACACCATGTCAAGAAAATTAATCATTACAACTTGCACTCATCCAAGCTGTCGATAAACGTGAATGACAGATGTCGCTATACAACCGGGGAGACTTATAAAACAATAAAGATGCATAACGAAATTGTACGGGGGTAACCGCACCAATGAGTAGCCTGCTTGCTTCCTTTGTATGTAATTGAATATAATTAAACCCAGTTACTTGGGTACGATTTCATTAGTCTTGATTGCAACAAGAGTTCTTGCTTGCTCTGCATGGAATTAGAATGATGAAACAAATTCTATAACCAAGTTGACCCACAAACTGACCTAAAATGTCGTCATAAATCAGAGGTCGCAAGTTTTGTTGTGTGTAAAATTCGAAAAAAAAAGAATGTCTGTAATTGACCTATTTATTCCCAAGATAAAGCAGAGCGCTCGTTGCTCAGCGTGATAGATGTCGCGTGCTACGTACAACACGCCTCCACGGACCTGTACGCGCGGTCCGAGTCATGAAAGATCCTTTCGCTACTCGCTGGGCAAAATTCCAACGACAAGAAAAGTGGTGGAGTCCATCTGCGGCGGCGAATAAGAAACCAACGGTTGGAATGGCACTGGAGGTTCACGAAAATGCCGGTAAACAGATGCTGAGAGGGGAAGCTCTTAAGATTTGACCCCCACTTCCCCGTCGCCCCGATGTTGTTATTGCTGCCCGATCCAACCACTCCAACGTCAGGCAAAGTAGACTAGTTCCCGAGTTTAGCTTTAAAAGAAACGAGGGCCGCAGGTCACACTCTAATTGGCGTTGCTAAGGGAGAGTGAAAAGGGGGCGTCATTGATGGTAGCCACTACCAGCCTCACTTTGGTTTTACATTCAACGTGGATTCCCTGAGCGGTTGCAATCGGAACGATAAAACGCACAGCCAAAACTATTCCAAGGATCGTAACATTTTGTGCTGCGACTCAAATTTATATAAATAAGATGTGACTCTCATGCCAAGCGCTAAAGAATTTTGACTTGCATAATGGGCATTAGAAAAATGCCGTTACTGTCTTCCTATAGTGTGTTCAAGTGTGAAGTTTAACTCACGGCACGCGATTTCATTCCATTATCCCACGCTGATGCTTGCTCATGCCTTGCTCAATATTTCGGACACGACACGCTGAGTAAAGACACCGGACTGCATCCCAGCCAACCTGTCGTCTACGGTACCTTTATATCATCATTACCATGAAAAACTAACCGTCAGTTTGGTGTTACAACGTACCCTTAGCAACAGTGACGGGAGTCACAGAGCACTGTTCAGATGTTACCAGCCCCGTTTGTGTTAACGGAATAAATTCAGTGCTTCAACTCAGTGATTTTCGAATACGAACGTATACCAAAAAAGGATACCGTATAAATCAGACTGTTGCTTCTTGGCGTTGAACTTTTTGTACACGTATCCTACCTTTATTATCCAACACAACGCATTTGGAATAGTACTATGAAAGCACAGCAAACAAGAGAATGTTTGAATTTAAAGTGAATAACCTTTCAGCCCCAAAATTACTGCATGTAAACTGATGAGGTTTTTTCAATAAGCACATGATGATGTAAACGGAGGTCACAATATCCGCTCTGATAAAATTGGAATTCTCTATGCCATAGATGGAGAAAGACCTCAAGGGATTTTTCTTTTTTGAAACTGCCCTCATCTCCACGTTTTATGGACCCCCCTCTCCCTTGTGCAACAACACTAGCTCCCTGTCAGTTAAATCAGTAACCACATTTCTGTCCCAGTAGAATGTTTTCGGATATTAGTTTCGCCTATCTGAGCTCAACCCAAACAAATCGAAAGCTGCCGGAATAGGCGAGACAGGTATTAAAAACACGGTTCCGCCTGCAGCACGGTAAGAGATGGGGATTTGGGTAAATACGTCCAGGGACCTAAACAAATACCTTGTCACCCATGTGGAGGACTAGAAAATAATTAGACGGGAGAGTGTGAGACATACAAGTCATATACGAAGTTCAAGCACCTATCGACTGCAGAATGACAGAAATGAACCGGTTTGCATGCATTCCATAAGGCCAGTGGTTATTTTCAGGCTTTCTTGGGGGATCGGTACAAGTAATAACCAATTGACATCAAAAGGTTATAGATCACTTGATTGTATAATGCTTCAAGCCAAACGACCATTGTTTTCGTGGGATAACACAGCAAATCAGAAATGCACGTGATGAATGCAGCACTAACTTGTTAAAAATAATGCCTCTTGAAACCAACAAAGTGAATTATTAAGTTAACTTTACCTTACATTGGAAATCATGTCAACATAAAACAGTATGTCCCCCATAGAACTACAAACAAATGTTGTACATTTTCAAAAGTAAGATGGACTTAAAAGAGATCGCTTGATGATGCTTTTTCATTATATTTACTTCTAAACACTATCAAAATTTAGTCTGTGCTGCTCTTCATAGACCTTTTCACTAATACATTCATAATTATGCACGTCTGCGCACAAACTGCGTTGGCGCCAAGGGCCATTGAAAATGTACAGGGTGCGATTTTCATCTTTTCCTCTCAGGTTTTCTGGCTTTGTTACGTTTCTTCTTCAGAAAATCCCATTAAATCGTTTTTGCTGTTAGTTTCTAATCTAAGCGGAATTTTTCCTGCTTGATCTTGTGTGCACAGGAAACATCACGATTGTAAAGTCTTTTCACAGAGCACTAAAGATCCTGCTTAGATTAGAAACTGATGGCAAAGACGATGTAATGGGATTTTCTGAAGAAAAAATGAACAAAGCCAGAAAACCTGAGAGAAAATGATCAGAATCGCACTCCTGTACATTTTCAACGGCCCTTGCCGCCAAGGCCATTTGTGCGCATGCGTGCATAAGTGTGAATTTATTAGTGGAAAGGTCTATTGGTTAACACTCGTCCACATGTGTTTCAGTGCATAGCGCTGTCGGCATCTCCTTTGAAATCAAATTGTAAAGGGAATATTTCATATAGTTCAACTGATCAGTGGCTTAAAACCATTTTGACTGGTTTTATTTACTTGAGCATAATCTGAATAAGCAAAACCAAATACGTGTAAAATAATAACAAGTATTTCAGTATGCATAAAGCGCCCTCTGGTAATAAATTAAGTGTTTAAAAAGGATAAAACTTTGCCTGCACCATTTTAGGCCACACCACTGTGTATTATTTTTAAAATACGAATTAATATACAAACAATGAATGTTTATGCGTGCAGGAGCAAGAATAGTTTCACAAGGTGACAGATGAAAATAGTCTATTCCACGATGCGAAGCCAAATGGAATGGCACATTTTTGCATGCCACCGAAGAAAATTATTCTTACCATTACATTTGGTTTATGTAATACCTGCATAATAAAGCCTCTTCTGTTCGGAGAACAAAAAGAAAAAGACACAGAACTCGGTCAAAATGCAATTCTGTCAGTTATTGATGCCTTTTAATCTGCTGTTTACATGTAATTGGAATTTAGATAGTGCTTGCATATGACGATTTTTACACAAATTCTACGGTGATTATGTACATATACCGATTGCATTCTTTGCACTTTAAAAGTCGATCTCAGAGATAAAACTTGGCCTGAATGCCTGTAGCACTTGAACAAAATTCGCATGCCTTGTTCTGATAACTCTGACGGAGTAAACATGCTTGCGCTACAGGTTTTCACTCGCTCTGCTATTTCGTAAACAAGATATGCACACTTCTTAGATACAAATCACCTTCTTTTGAATTTAGGCCGTGTCCGAATGACTTGGTTACGGCTGGCAATAACGCGCATGTCTACGGTAGCCGTTGGCTAGCGGCTGGAAATACCGCACGTGCCTATGGTAACCGTTGGCTAGCGGCTGACAATAACGCGGGCGCTTATAGGATAGCCGTTGGCTAGCGGCTGAAGCTATTTCCTGATAGGTACGTGCGTAACAAGGGTCCACTCTACAGCACGAATGCTTCGTGGTCATACCTGATAATTATGTGAAGGAAGAATGTTTGTATGAGTAGCTCTCGTTTCCACTTTCCCCCTTTTCACGCAGAGGAGGAGATGGCTATGACAGGACAGCCTTTCCTGGTTGATAGCCTTGAAGACAACATTAAGGAATACATAAACTACATACCGGGTATTTCTTTTACTCGAATTGCGTGGATTCGTTGTTTAATCGTGTACATTTCCATGAGTTGACTACCACGGCACTACTGCAATTTATTACTTGTTAACGAGATTACATTTACAATAACACGAAAAGATGGATAAGTACAGTTGCAAGTACTAACGTTTCTACCAAGACGTTGGAGACCACACGTAAGCAGCCAGAGGGAAAAAGGTGCTTGGTGTATAAGTAACATGAGGTGGTCTTGGAGTTGAATACACGAAGTAAACAATCTGTATGGACTAATTCGAGGACTGCGTTGGCACAACATTAAATCTGCGCGCGCGTTTTTCACATTGAGGACACAGTGCTTGGCAAATGCAGCATCTTATTGGTAGGAAAAGCCATAGAGCTATAAAAACTAGAGTGCTGACTCATTTGTTACGTGATACCTACTGGGATCATCCATGTTTATGCACAAACTTGTGGAAAACTCAAAATGTTGTACGGCTTTTTGCATATTTGCGTCTGTATTCTGAAAAGATACATCAACAAAGCTGATACACAAATAACCTGAAGGCCTAATCAGTAAATGAGCGTTTTATTTTGCTCAACGCCAAAAAACAAACAAACTGACTTTTTAAATCAAATTTTATCAGTACCTGATGCGTACGACAGCTTCTGCTTCAGAGCTGTCAACTCAACACTGACTGAATTAAGGGATTGACTTTTTAATTGAGCTGAACTTATTCATCGAAAGACAGCCATCGAAAGAAATGCATGTAAGCGGACGACCTTGGTCGAATGCTAGGGACACATTAATGGATGTAAATAAACATGCATATGCCATTTCTCTGTACGTGTGCCTCGGACGGCGTCAAATTTTCTCCGCGCGGAGAAGGAAGAGATAGCACTCTAGTTTTATATATAGCTCTATGGAAAAACACATAATGTGTGCGCATCACCTGTTCACTGGCAGGAGCGTATGTGGTGCCTTCACAGTAAACGGTCTCCTTGCCGAACTGCGCTATAACTGGACTCATCATACATGTTTGCGGCATGCACGGTCATTGCCTACACGCAGAACGCGTGCAAGAACCTGCTTGTAACCACCTGTCTTTCTTTCGCCGATTGGGGGCGGATATACTAGATATAGTTTACATGCATGATCCTATTCGTTCACAGCACCTTCAAAATTTTGTATAAATGGAGACACATTGTACCATTGGAGCACAAAATTTGTCCAAATAAGTTCTTACGTGGCTGACAGTAGACTTTTGTTACCACCGTTCTGAAATATGCCTTGTCAGATCTCGTGAGCATTTCATAGCTTCATGAAAACTACGTTCACTTGCAAGCAATCGAACACCGTATAATGTGGTACGTGTTACTTAAACTCACTCTTGCGTTAATTATTTTTTTCATAGCAGTTTCTTATTTTTCCTTAAATCACATTAGTTCCTTTGCCCTCGCCAAACATCGCGAAAGTAGGTCTACTATTTTTAATCATTCAAAGTACATAATGTTACAGCCATGAACAACGTACCTCTCTGAAACATCAAATGTGGGTTGAAACGTGACGGATTGTCTGCTGAAGGTATGGCTGTGAAATTCTAAATCTTGAAGTATGCTTATTAGCCTTATTAGAGGACTACGCTGGACCTGTGATATTCCTCCATTGATATAACCGAACGAAAGCGCCTTGTCCTTGAGCTCACAGGCCCTCTAGTAAAAGCAAGTCTAAATGCCATGCGGTAGCGGGAGTTGGTGCAGTTATACACAATCGGGTTAACGGCTGAGTTTAAATACATGAGGACAGTACTCGCTGTCTCGAAATGCTGAGTGTCCAGGAAGAAGAAGGCCCTCAGGAGAGACGCCGTTTGGAAGGGAGCAAGACAGCAGAAGAAGATGATCCCGTTTGCCACCAGCATGCGGGTTACTTTGTTTCGGTCTCGGAGAGTCCGCGCTCGTAGGTCGGCGGTGTTGGCGTTGGTGCTGGTGCTCTTCAGAGCCTGGATGATTTTGAAGTACATGATGGAGTTGGCCACCATGGCCATGAAGAACGGGACGGTCTGCAGACAGTTGGCGAAGTCGCCGGACCAGGACCACAGAGGGTTACAAAGCAGCATGGGATCCAGGTAGGGCGGCTCAATGCTGGCATTGCTGGAATTGGTCATGTCCCATACGAAGCAGTAGGTATTGACCACGCTCTTGCCTGGTATCAGCAGGCAAGAGAACGCGCCTCCCAAGAACCAGGAGCAGGCCGCGAGTCTCTTGGAGTGGTGCTTCCGCCTAGTCATGATCTTACCCATTGGCTCGCAGATTGCCTGTAGGCGCTCGTACGAAATGATAGTTACCAAGGCGATGGAGGCGAAGTATGTCATAGCCTGGACGGGGTAGAAGAGGAAACACGCCACGGGACCGATGCTACTCACATCTTCCATGTACAAAGACGTCATGTACATCCAGAGTTTCTCACCGACTGTAAAACTAAGAAATGTGATGTCAGCGATGGCCAGGTTCATCAGGTAGAAGGTAATATCACTCCGCATCCATCGGACTCGATACAGAACAAAGAGGAAGATGAGATTGCCGGTCAGCCCCATGACTAGAATGCAGGGCAGGAAAACCGTTATCAGCAATTTGCTGGTGTCAGTGTGTGTCACGTCTTCCAAGGCAGTTATGATGAGGGTGTAATCACAACTGTTCGTTGAATTCTCCATGATTTCCAGCATAACTGAAGTAACATTTCAAAAATTCCTCAATTTTTTTAAAACTCGATCCTCTTGGTACCGAGATGTGGAAGTTGCACGAGCAAAGATTGGCTGAGACCACATTCCGTGAGAGATATAAATTCCTTGTTTTGAAGGTGTGCGAATATTTCGGCGTTCATAGGTCTGTCATGAGCTGATCATAAAAGTATACCGCTTTGGCACCAAGACCTCACAGTCATCTCGTCATCTCGGTGATGTCCAAGTCAATACCTCCAAAATTTGTGATACACGCCACGTCTACAAGTCCTCATGGGAGAGACTAATACATCTTCAAGTATCGGTAAGCAACTTTTGTCGCCGGAGAAAATGCCCCGTTATTAGATTGTGACGTTCGGTTGACATTATGATGTCTGCGGCGAATATTCTCCCACTTTTCCGGTGCTTAGGACCCGGCCAGTTGCGGCGTAAGGCCAATTAGTAACCAGGGGAAATTTTTACAGTCGGACGGTTGTCCTTGGCTTCCTCTAGCGTGGCAGTGATGCAACAGCACTGTCCCGTCGCATCGCTAAGACTGGCAGGGTATCGGTGGCAAGCCTGGGTGGCTAGCAGGACTGTCTCCGACAATATTAACGCTTGATTCGCCCGTTGATTGGATGTGAAGAGGAGACGGTGAATATTAAAGATTTGGCCTCGGCGCTCTTGCAGTCTACCGTAAAGCCTTGCCGTGCTGATAAGAACGCGAAAGTGAAACCTTCGACTCTGGGTGCACAAAGAGAGAAAGGCAGAGAAAAACATGATAAGAAATTGATTTCAGCCCTCGTTGCCTGTGGCAATTCTGTATTGTTATTTTAACGGAGCCTCAGGTTGCTTGTCCTAAGAGGGGCTATTAACTCGTTGCTAAAGGAAACGTATTTTGTGTGACTACCACGGAATAGGATACAGCAAAAGTCATTCCCACAAAAGGAGGTTCGATACTTTCACTGCAATTTAATACTACGGTATCAAAATTCTTTTTTTTTCACGCGCAGGCTGGTTGATTTTCTAATCCCAGCTCCGTTCAACCACTACAAAGAATGAGATATGGGATCGTTCGTAAATTGACTGCCCGGAAGATGACCAACTGAATTTCACACGCTAGTCGATGCTTTAAGACCGTCGATGATTAAGCCAAGACAATCCTTGCAACAGCAAGGTCTGGTGCCCAACTGACCTGAGAAGATTGATTGCGCACCTGAATATATTGACGCGCGGCGCGTGGCTCAATGACAGCCCCGTTTCCCGGCTAACAATTCTAGTCGTTAGATAAGTCAGATCCGGTCGTGAACTCTTGCAACGAGGAAACCAAAAAACAAATATGCGCAGATTTTAGATATTGTCCATTTCTTTCCCTTTATACTTACTAAGCGGTCCAGAAAGTAACCTATCGCGCGGCAAAAGTACATTATATGACCTGTGCTGCGTGACGTCTCAAGTTCGATTTAGTTGATACTTCTGACGACTGACTACACTCATAATGAAAACCGAATGGAAAGAATTGAGATGTCATAAGTCACCACTGTGACGTTGCCATTTTAATACGCAGTGGGATCGATATGCACAGAGACAAAACGCCAATGGCGTCAAAATTACCATTTGAGGAATCCTCGCAGTGCTGACAAATCACCGACATAGGCAAGCTGTGTTTATATGCAATTTTCAATCATGACAATTCCACACAAATAAACTAACCCCTTTTCTTCTTTAATGTCATCCATTCTTTTATTCCATGACTCTAGACTCGTAAGTTACCTCATATTTTCAGTCTCCACCTCGGTACAACTTTACTGCCATCTATTATACTTTGAATCAAGTGCAGTCGACAGATGTACACTTGAGTTTGAATTGTTAAATTAAATTGGTTCCTTTTATTCCTAATGCACGATTTTTAAAGACCAAACTCTTTTCTTGACGAATTAGCAGTTTCCCCAAAAATGAGCCGAATAATTTCGAATCACTAATGTGCGTCAGAATTTATCACATGTCGCCTTCGCACGGAAATTCACCACACGTGCGCACTCCATTTTGTGATATACTTCAATAGCTCTCTACGCTTCGCTATAAAATCATTCGTTGTTCAGTTCTAATACGCTTCCACACATTGCACAACGGTCATATTTAGATTAGGTCCTGGTACGTTGCTTGGCTTACACACTATCAAAATAATTACGTTAGCGAGTGCGCATTGTATTGACAGCTTTGGCCTGTGTGCGCATGATCAATCTTTTGAATACACCATTGCCCGAAGTGCCGCCAATCATTACCTTGTCAAGTTAAACTTGCTGAATTATTCACCAATTTTAAAAGGCATATGGTAAAACTCTCAAAGATAATGACATCTGAATTACCAAAACAAAACATGAATGCTTGTTGGAACTACAAGTACATATTGAAAGTAAATGCTGACGTCATGTACTGTACTGGTGTCTTAATCGCAGTATTGTGACGTTTTAATTTGTTCGTGTTATAAACAGGATATATTTTTATATTAGGACAGATGCTTACTAAGCAACAAATTCTAATTGAATACTTTTGAAAGTCAAGTTTTTGGACACATAATGTTTGTTTTCTTGAGGAAGACGAGGAAAGTATTTTGTTTCAAGCGCTGCTGTTTTGTTGGTCACACAGCGTTTTCACAGTCCTTCAGAAGCGTATAAATGGTCTCCTTATCAATTCACTGTTTAGTTTAGCTTTATTGGTAATGAACGTTGATCAGCTGTCCTCACGTAAAACACAGTCATCAATCAAAGCTCAACACATCAGTGAGCAAATGGGAAAATACGTTTGTTGTCCTTGATGAATAATTCAAACTCGTTCAATCAACTGTCCACTGGGGGCTGAACCTAACAATCTGAGGCACTAATGATTGGTTAAATGCGATTGCTGATGACCTTATGCATAACAATCACAAGCGCAAGATGAAATAAACGGTTTCAAGGAATGTGCGTCAAACATTTTGAAGATGGCCAAAATGGTCCATCCGCTCGCTGTTTTAATTTATGTAATATAATGACATCCTCCAATCATTCGATTCCATACATTTTAACACACATTACAAAGATTTATTAGTAAATCGTTCTATCTTCCCAACCATGTAAAATGTCATTTTGAAAATCGGACAACTTTTTACACATCTTCTGACTTTTCTATTGCCATTATAACTCTTTCCAACGTCAACTAGCGGAAAGAGTAAGCGAAACAGTCTCTTTTATGACATCCTACGGTGCTGTTTTTATCTACCGTTACTCAGTTAATCTTCGCATTGATATTTGGAGGTCCATATTCACGAGTCCTCCCTGTTTTCCTTTTCGTTTATTGGCGACGAAAATTTTCATAACACAGTGACGTCATCTGAGGTACAACTTCTGCGTTTCAGTTTAGCCTAACCGCAGTTTTTCTGTTCAGCGGTAGTTCGTTGTCTGGTCGTTATTGTGTTTTGACGTTTCTGTTTTGACTAAATGACAGATTTTCAGTAAGCAAACTTGCACAAATGCGCTTATAAGCTCGGGTGGAGTATCACCAATTAGAAGGACAGTCGCTCAAAAAATGAGACGCTAAGATGGATCCTGATAGGACAATACTCTGGCCCACATCGTTGTATTATAGACTGTGTTATTGAATGTTCGTATGCAGGAAGCATAAACTAGAAGTGGATAGGGTAATTGAGTGGAGTTTTAACTCGAGTGAAATAAAACCAAATAAAAATCGGGACTGAGTTGCACTCAAACACAGCAAAACCAATAAATGCAGGTGTGAGAAGAAATATATTTTTTATTATTTGGAATAATATGAATTATTCCCTTAATAACAGCACCATGGTCACTTCTAAAACAACCTTTAGATGGTTATGCAGTGACCAATGGACTATTAACGTCGCTGCACTAAGGTTGATCAGTAATGAAAGGTCGAAGTCTCGAACGTTTTACATACATACAATCTGCTAGGACCATGAACATGTGCAATTCAAATTTTGAACCTAAATTTGGCACTGACTGTACTGAATGTCTATTTCACCATGAACTGCTCAAGGAAAGCAATTATTATTACACTGTTGATAACTGGAAAATACAGGCAGTAAGTTTTCATTTCAAACCGTCACTGGGAAAGCTACGAGTACAGCTGTACTTTAGAATTTGCATTATTTTGAAGAAAAAATTCAGAAACTTTGATGAGTGCATTTAAAGGGACTTCACATCCTGAATCATCATTAACATCCTGAATCTGCCCAAAACTGATCATTATGTAAACAATAGAGCACACAACACGGTGTCTCATTATTTTTATGCTATTAGGAGATCTTTTTTCCATAT